GGATTTCATCATGAGCTGACATCAGTTAGAGAACCACTGGAAAACCTGGGAGTACTGGATAGCTGTTTTCCATGGTCTCTAACTTATATCAGCTCATGATGAAATCCTCCATGCAATTAAACAAAATCCCTACCAAACCAATACTTGAAAAATATGGAATTGCAAAGTTTTATGTTGAAAAACTTTGAGCCTAGTCACTAAGATCATACGTATATTGACTTTTAAAGCCACAATAAAACTTTAATGATGTGCGAGACTAAAGTTTTTCGAATTCTATTGTAGCGGTAAATAATTCCCCAAAATTATTGACCACAGCAATCATCACTGAACATAGGATGCTGACCCCCACTGTTTAAGTCGACTTTTTTAGCTGAAGGCTTCCGGTCAAGCATCCTTGCCATTTGGTACTCCGTCGTGTCACGTGCGTGCACGATCACTAGCTAGCTAAGCACTCAAAACGGTTTACTATTTGGTCCCGAAATATATCACGTACTTTGGTTGATCAATCTTGCCTTTTGCTTTATCTTCGGTACACGAGAAACGAATACTTTAGAAGTTGTTGGTATAAGATCTTGCGTTAGTATACTCCGTACAATTCGCGAACGTCAATACCGTCAGCTTCTAAACTATAATTATCCCAGTAACTATACTAAAGATGAGATATTTGTTCTTAAAGCTAAGAATGACATTGTGAACTATTATTATCTTGTTTTCACATAGGACCTTAAATCAACTGACTGAAGTTTTGACTAAATCAAATAATTCACACTTTAACACTATTTTCTTGTATACATTGTTATCCTTTGTGTACTCAATAAAATGCTTTACGGAACTTAATTGGCTTAAAGTGTGTTTACAAGGTATCCCAGCGTCAAAGTGTAGTGATGTCATACAGACAATGTGTGCTAACGGAATGTTATTCTTACATATTCCCAAAGTTCAATTAGGCATTAGCAGCATTTTACGATATGTCTATTTGAACATTCTATTTGATGTTAAAGACAGAATACTTTTCCCACGGTTATATACTGCATTAACAACAAAATACTATGTTAATTTGAACATTCTATTTCATGTCGTTTGATGTAAACCTGATAAGATCCCGCATAAAGTAGTATATCATTATTTCTTACGCATGTTGTGATTAATTATGCGACCAATCATTTCTCACGGCTGTGAGGCCGACTTTATTGTTGTAAAGAAAGTGTATAAATACCATGTGTTGTTTTCCTAATGGTCACTGTTGTTGTGATTACAATATACAGTCACATGCCAGCCTTTGTCTTTTGATAGTTGCGTTACTCAGTGAATCGGAAGGTACCACAGGCAGATAGGCATATTAGGCAGGCACAGACAGAACAAAGTGACTATGGTTCTCATTCAGTTAAGTGCAGTTATAACAAATTGGCGACGGCGTTATTACAGTGCACTCAAATTATAACAAAACCTAAATCACATGCTCAGTGATTGGTTAACGAATATAAACTGTAAATGTATAAACAGCGGTTTGATTAGTGAAAAATATACCTTGGCTCCCGTGTCTTGCCTTTTGTTGTTATAAGAGTATTATATTTATGACAATCGATATGATCAAACAGTAAATAACTCAAAAAATCAAAAAGTACTCACTTCCACCGAGATTTTCTGCCAAGTATATGACAGTGATTTAGTCAATAAATATTTATTTTCAGGTATTGGTTTCGTAGAGATTTTTTTGTTTGATTGCATGGACGATTTCATCATGAGCTGACATCAGTTAGAGAACCACTGGAAAACCTGGGAGTACTGGACAGCTGCTTCATCAGTCCTAGTTTGGAACTCTTCATCAGTACGCACCCACCGGGATTGGAACCCAGGACCTTCTGGTTACAAGGCGAGCTCGTATACCATTGAGCCATTGGGACCCAATCCAATGGTCCTTGAATTCTAACTTCTGCCAATTCACGACATAGCGCGTACTGATGAAGAGTCCCAAACCAGGACGAAACGGCTGTGCAGTACACCGAAGTTTTCCAGTCGTTCTCTAACTGATGTCAGCTCATGATGAAATCCTCCATGCAATCAAATATTTATTTCACACTTTTGAGATAGAGTTCATTACTTACGTTTTTTTAAGTTCACCTCGTAATGTAATTCGGAAAAAACGACTAACTAGGCATCTATCTTCTTTCCGACTATAACTATATACTAACTAGTATGAGGTAAATTGTCTGAGTCACACTATTGATCCCATAACTGTTAGCCTTAAATTTAAATCATTTAAATTATTATCCAATGATGATCGATTGCTTATTTCAAATTCGCATAACATTGAAATCTATGCTAAATTCATATTTTCAACTGTGAACATTTATACCTAAAGGATGAATTACTTATTCGTATTATATTTAATCACATTAAGATTGGTTTATGTTGTAAATCGGACTACAGAACATTTAAATCCATTAAATATATTTTGTAAAGATTCAATGCTTCAAAATGGTTTTACATATAACATGTTCAATACTACTTTACCATTGTTTGGTAAACAGAAATGGTATAGTGTTGAAAATTTATTAAATACTAAAATACTTGAAAATTTAAAAAGTATACATTTTAATAGCTGTTTTAATAAAACAATTGTAGCATTTGATGACTGTTGGAATCATATTAGACAACAATTCATTGAATATTTAATACCAATTGAATATACTGAAGATAGACAAATTATTCAAACATATGAAAAACAAAAATCTGTCATGATAACAGATAATGATGTTTATTTAAAATATTTAGATGCCTTATGCCTTACAGCATGTTATAGTCGATATAAAGAGAATTTACAACCAACAACTGATTATTATATTCTATGTCCATATCCATGTATTGTACAAAAAGATTGTTCATTCTATGATTGTAAAGATCATGGAATATTTTCACATGAATATGAATGTCCATGTAGTGGATTAAATAAATGGGATACAGAAAGTATAGAATGTCTAACAAATGATTTATATGAAATTAGACAGTCAAAAGAATATGTAAGTTTAGCATTTCATTTCTTATATAACATGTGAATGCATTTATACAAGCGAGGATAAAGTCTATTGTGAGGTGTTTTCACTCGTAGTATAGGCAATGCAACAACAGATATTCTAGCTGCTTAAAAAAGTTAATAAAACACCTTAAAAACAGCCAAAAGTAACATCTGATATGATTACAACATTCCTTTAGGCCTGAAGAAATTTAATTCGTAAATTTAGTAAAGCCAGAACAACCGTTTTTGCGGAATAAAATGGTACCATCATTGCTTATTTCGTTGGTTTCTCAGCAGCTGCTTACAGGCCAAAGTCATTATTAAATATATCTACAGAAACAATTTTAACATACTTGCACAGAGTTCATTTTTAGACAAAAATCAGCAAATATATACATACAGTAATAATATATATAATAATAAACACTTTATTCCGAACAATAATGATCATACACAATGGAAACTTTTGACATTACGTAATCAGATAAAAGAGAGGATGAAAATATCCAGTTACCAGGGCAAAGAAAGACTGATAACCGCTTCTTTCTGGACGCATAAATCAGGTTTCCGGCGCTTGATGGAAATGGCTTCAGCAAACTTAAGGAGAATTGAGCTCTTTTGCTTATTGATAATTTTGAACGACTTTTCGACGTCCACCTCATAACCCGTCTCAAGAAGATGCCTGGTGATGCCACTGTTTAAAGCATTTGTTCCCTTTAGACATAGGCTTTTTGGTACATGTTCAGAAAATCGTAGATATGCCCTTCTTTCTGTCCTTCCAATGTAAATGCTCCCGCAGATTCATGTAAATTTGCATCTAATTTTATCGATTAATATTAAAAACAATTAAAAAGATAATATTACAGAATCGTTAAAGACAGTTCTTACTTGGTATTAGTAGTGACAGTAAGATAAATAAAAAGAAAATTGTAAAATAATAATAATGTTTGTAGTTAGGATTATCAGACAATTACATCGAACAACATTAAAAACAACTTTAGGAATGATATTACAGGATTGGTAATGGCAGTTCTTATATGGTATTTGTAATGACAGTGAAGTCAAATATATATATAAAGAATTGTAAATAATAATAAGGTTAGTAGCTAAGATTGTCAGTTAATTGAGATAGTGTCACCATAGATTACAAATAGGAGATAATAAAAGGGCCAATTATTTAGCTAACAACATAGTAATTCATAGGTTTCACGCTTGGTTGATAAAAGTCTGAAATCTGTTGGAAATGCCTTCCCATATAGAAGAGTCACACAAACGTTACCATTGGGGTATTCGTGTTGATGACTAACCTCCTCTAAAAAAGATTTCATTATGTTTGAATGGATAATATTTTAAAATACCATTTTATTACACAAAATGACCATTATAGCCATTTTTCTTTATTTTAATTGATAATGTTTGGTATACAAATATTGCTAAAATTAATAGTATTTCATTTGCATTCATTTATAACCAGCCTGATTTCATTACAAAGGAAGAAAACTTAAGAAAGCGTATTCCAAGAAATTGTGAAAGTGATAATAAGTGTTATACTAATGGAACATTATTCTGTACACAAGATCCAAATCATCAAGTTAGTCAAATATACATTTGACAGTTTTTCTTTTCATTTACTTAAGCTTTTCGTTTGATATAAGAATTACTAGATGTTTTAATTTAATTCGAATCATAAACCGGTACTCAATGTAAGATGATTGAAAGCTAAATGGGAATTAAAAAGATTTCTCATTTCAGCTTAGGTTGAATTAATCACTACTGAGCATATGTGACCACGAACTCATATCTGACCGAGAACTTGAAATTAGAACGAAAGTGCCACTTGAGGACATAATTCTGGGAGTGCCTGTGCAACTGTGCCTGACTTCCACAGTATTTAAATTCCAGGGGAAAATATACAAACAAACTGAGGAAGTTGCCATGGTGTCATCAATATCCCAGATTGTAGCAGATATATTCATGGTGTTATGTATGTGAATATGAGGACCTTGTAGACTACGAGCGAATCTAACTAATGCGCTGGCTAATCTGTCTTAATCGCACGTCAACAACAACAACAATAATACCGCCGGGCACGCAAGACAAATAAAAGAGAAGACTGGACGTTGATATGAGAGCTTTTACTGTCTCAAACAACAGTCGAAAATGTTAAACAACAACTCCGTATTTATACAATTAGAAAAATCAATGTCACCTTTTAAAAATATTAACGACCTTGGGGATTCAGTAATTTAAATCAATAATCACGCAGATGCGTGAAATCAATGATTATGCTAATGTGTGAAATAAATAATGAATATTAATGATTCCCCTGCGTATATATTACCTCCCCCTTTTAAAAGGAATCTTGCAATCAGTTTAGTATCTTTTTTCCTTGGGGTCGATTTGGAAAGGAACTGTTTGTGTTCGTTTGCGCTGGGATCGTCGGCTGGGTAGCATCTCTTGTTTTGCTTCTGGTTTGACTGGTGGTATTTTGAAAGTTTCCAGTAGTAATTCCAGTGGCAATTTAGGTTCTTGGGATGTAGTATATCGACGTCGTATCTGATTTTTATGTCTAATCCACCATTCATCCCCAACTTTAACCTTGTACATTAGAGTTCCATGTCGACGTTCTATCAAGCCTTCGGCCCATTTTCTGTTCCTCGGTCGATAATCGCGCACATAGACGGCATCACCCTTGCGGTAATACGTCAGACTATTTCTTCGTTGATGTGACGAAGATGGTAACATGGAGTGGTGATGAGTTCGTAGCATTCGACCCATTAGAAGTTCTGCAGGGCTTTTCTTCTGTTCTGTCAGTGGTGTAGTTCGGTATACAAAAAGAAAGTTTTGTATTGCTTCCGGTTTCGCCCCTCCCCCTGCTTTCAACAACGCTCGTTTGAAAGTGTCGACAAATCTTTCTGCCTGACCGTTGGATTGAGGGTGATAAGGTGGCGTCCGCACGTGTTGTATACCGTTTCTCTTGCAAAATTCCTGGAACGCTTGTGAGGTGAACTGACTGCCATTGTCAGACACGATGATTTCTGGTATACCGTGACATGCGAAGATCTTTTCCAGGACTGATACTGTTCTGCTGCTAGAAGGTGGTGTCACTTGTACTACCTCCGGCCACTTTGAGTAAGAGTCCACGAGAACCAAGTAGTATATACCTTCTATCGGCCCAGCAAAATCCACATGTAGTCGGGACCATGGTTTTGACGTGGGCCATGCTCTCGGTGGCGGATCTTTGGCTGCCATGACAGACATCACTTTCAGTTTTTGAGCAGAGCCTCTCTTACTGGAGCTAACAGTTGCTACTTTGTTGCTACCAGACATCGAAGCACTTTTGGCGCAGCCATACTCACTGTGACGATTCGAAGTTGGTGTTTCATTAATCACGTCATTCTTTCTAATGGGCTTAGGTTTAATATATCTGTCTCTGATTTCTGGCTTTCTTGTTGAGGGTTCAATACTTTCGATCTTATGGCATACACTGCTTAACGGAATCTCTGACAGGTGCAGCTTCTCGAACCAGTCTAAACCCAAGAGGTCAAGGTTTGAATTATTGATGTAGCATGTGCCGACGAAATGACTATCGCGAAAACTAACGCTGCATTTAATTTCTCCATTCAATCGAAGTCTTCCACCACATGCACTAATTGCTATTTGATTTGTCTTCTCTATGGTAGGGCATCCCAACTTCTGCCATAATTTCTTTGATATTATTGTAATATCGGATGCTGTGTCGATTTGTAGGCGTGCCGGCCGTGTATTAATCGTCAGATCGATATATTTGCGAGGTGCTGGAGTACTAATATGATATGTGGCAGTAACACCCAAAGACTTGAGCTTGTTGCGCCGTCTGGGTCGACTACGAGATCTGGGTTGGTTGTTGCGTTTGCAGTAGCCATCTTTGTGACCAACAGTATGGCATCGACGGCATTTATGCTGTTTGAATGGGCACAATTTTGCAAAATGCCAGGAGCCACAGTGCCAGCAGGCTGATGGTGGTTTATGCTGAGGATGACGCGGTGCGGTTGATGTCGACGGTACTGGATGCACCGCATGCACTTCTGCTGCATTTTGGCTGCCAGACTGCACCAAGGCGGTATCGTTATGAGTGTTGATTAAACGCTGATATTCTTCACCGACGTCTTTCAAAGTCATTCGTGGATCTTGTTCCAGACGATTTAATAGACGTGTGCGTATATCAGCAAATTTGGGAGACTGCAAACCACAAATGAAAATCAACACCTTGAACTGGTCTTCTGAGAGTGATTTCAATTTAAAACGTTCACACGTGCGATTGACTATACCCAACTGAGTATGGATATCATCATTTTCGTTCAGAGATAGTTTCATGCAATGATATCGAATGTTGAATAAAGATCTCTGATCACCGAACTGATGACGAAGGGTATGGACAGTTTCATCGAATGATCTTTCGCTGGGCTTCTGTGGGAGAATTAAGTTGCAATATTTATCTAGCTCATCTGCTCCCAATTTACGAAGTAGAAGCCGTACTTTCCAGGCATCATCTTTATCCGCAAAGTCTACTCGAAATAGGTCTTCATATCTGCGAAACCAGGTATCAAATGTTACGTTCGCATCTGGATCATAAACGAATTCTGAGATGCTACTACCAATGCTGTCGTTGGCTGTAGATGAATCAGCAGAGCGTGATATTTGTAGACCAGCAAGCATTTCCATCAATTTTAGCTGCTGTTCCATTAGTTTCTCTAAACGCAGTGAGTCCATCTTCAGCAAACCCGTCGCCAAATTTGTTATGTATGTGAATATGAGGACCTTGTAGACTACGAGCGAATCTAACTAATGCGCTGGCTAATCTGTCTTAATCGCACGTCAACAACAACAACAATAATACCGCCGGGCACGCAAGACAAATAAAAGAGAAGACTGGACGTTGATATGAGAGCTTTTACTGTCTCAAACAACAGTCGAAAATGTTAAACAACAACTCCGTATTTATACAATTAGAAAAATCAATGTCACCTTTTAAAAATATTAACGACCTTGGGGATTCAGTAATTTAAATCAATAATCACGCAGATGCGTGAAATCAATGATTATGCTAATGTGTGAAATAAATAATGAATATTAATGATTCCCCTGCGTATATATTACATGGATAGTGGGAAAACATGTGTGCTGGGACTGTATGACACAAATCTTCGAAAAGGGTTTGTAGAACGCATCCCAAACAGAAGTCTCGATGTTTTAATACCAATAATACAAAGAACAGTCCTCCCAGGCACTACCATTCACACAGATGAATAGAGAGGTTATTCGCAACTGCCATCATCAGGATATATTCATCAAAAAGTCAATCATTCCCCTGAATTAGTGGATCTTATAAATGGAACCCATACTGAAGGATTCTGGACCCATCTAAAATACGTATTAGAATGGTAAATGGTTCTCGAAATGACATGATATACAACCACTTAGATGAATTTTTGTATCGACATTGGTTTGATATGCCTACCGAAACTCGTATGAGAAACTGGGACCAATTTTTACAGCACATTAGAGATGTATACCCTGTGTAATTCAGTTTTATCACATATATATCTTATAAATACACATTTTTATAAATTAAATACCACTTTAAACCTAGAAGAATCTGATTGGTTGTTTCATTTGACTTTGGTGTCTATTCTTTACTGTTGCCTATTTACAAACTTTCTCTACAGCTAACTTTCAGCATAGTGAGCTATGTAACTTGATAGTCCACACTGAATGGATTTATTAAATTAGGCGCCTTTAAGTAAATGTTCACATAGAACGCTAAGAACATTACACTGTAATTATAATCCTAATATTCTTAATGATAAAGTCACATTAGTCAATTCATTTGTCAATTTTACTTTTTAAATTAATTTTATTAGTATACACAGTGTGTATGTAAACTTGATCACCATGGTTACCATTGTCAAGATAAAATAGATGCTTGTTTATTCCATATTGAACATCATTTACAACCGAATGGTGGTACACTGATTGCTGGCAACAGAGCGTGTAATATTAATAATCCAGGAAACAAATGTATTTCAATAACTGATACCTATGGTGAAGTAACCTATCAATGTCAATGTAACAAAAGTGTTTGGATACCAGATATAAATTTACCTTATCCAAACTGTATGCAAAAATTGACAAAATGTGATTCACTTATTTGTTTAAATGGATATTGTGTTTCAAATGATATCGGTGATAAAGTAAGTCTATTAAATAAACAAATAAATAAATACAAATCATATTGGATATTGAACATTTCAATGTAATTTAATCCTGTATAAGGATACACCTCTGAACAGTTCAGGATAATCTCAATATTTCACCTATGTTTCTGTAACACTTCATAGACAGGGCTAAGCACATAACTTGAAGAAATCACTATATTTGTATTACTAGATACATGCTGTTGGAAACACGAACTATTCAACCCAAAAGAAAATCGTATCTCTCTACGAGATATAAACTTTGTACTGGTCATTTCCAATGTCAACAATTTCCTACTAAACTTTATTAGGCAGTGTATCGCTCCCTGCAGATCAGAATGCTGTAAGTGCATGGACTTCTGCATGATACTCAGTACAACCAATTAATCCTAATACATATGTATGATTTAGTCTAACACATAATCATCCTTCGTTTAGATAGCTTATCTGTCAATTGTATAACTGGAGAATTTGTGAGCTCAGGACCATCTTACTAAACAATATCAAAAAACAATAAACTTGGTCACTAAACATCCTGCCTTTTCGTATTATTACCTTCTTCAAGAGTTAATTTGTAGGTATTCGATTTGTGTCAAGTTTGATCACATATTGATGCCAGTGAGAGAACTACTGAAAACCACGAAGTAATGAACAGCTGTTTCATCCTAATTTGAGACCACTAAACAGTAAGTACCCACCGGTGTTCGAACCCAGGGTCGTCCGGCTACAAGTCAAGCTTGTTGACCATCCAGCTACTAGGACCCGGTCTGATAGCCCACTAATTCTAACTTCTACCAATCCGTGGTTTTTGCGCGACCACCGGTCAATGTCATAGGAGACTATCTGTCGTCACGCCCGACCCGGTGAACGTCACTGGTCACGAATTTTCACTTCACACTCTAATATTATTACAATGCACCGTGGTATGCAAGAAAGTTGTCTCAATAAGCCCAATGACTACACTGTATCACCGAATGATACATGTCGGTAAACGTATTTATTACTAGAAAGAGATACTGGTTTCAATCCGGCAATCGATTCTGCTCTGCCTCAGTTAATTGTTATGCTTCAGTTTCGAAAAATACGGATATTTCCGCTACTATAGAAGTTGGTTAAAGCTCACTACACGTATAATTCTCTACTTTCTTTAAATAAGGAATTAGGTAAGTCCTAAGAGTACTGTCCACTCGCAAACTATAAGTAAGATAGATGATATTCTTAAGAAACAAATTAAATCTATACATAACACTTGTCAGCACACATTATCACTCATTCTTGAGTGATATTAAGATTTTAGGATAAAATATAATGATTCGTAATAAATTGGGATCTTTTTCATGAAGATAATAAATACATCCACATAGACAAACCGATAAAAGACGGACATCCATGAGAATACAGACGTCATCACTTAATGTCATGTTATATTTCATAGGAGGACATGGAGAGTTGATGAATAATATTGGAAGTATCACAATAACATGAATGAAAGAAATGAAAAACGAAAAATAAATAAATCAAAAGTTATAAACAGTAATCTGGAAACAATCATGTCCTACACACTTTGAAAGTTAAGGAGATGATTGAAGACAAGATATATAAAAAAAGATCACAGAACAGAGAAGTAAGTGGACATCTGCTTTTATGAAAGTTAATTCAAAACAAAAATATTAATTTCACTATTTAAAAATGTATGGATTGTAAGATCTAGTATAGTTGTATGGATTTAATTATTCACTAAAAGAAAAGAATTCTGTCTGACGAATTTACATGACTCACCAACCGCGCGTGTGGTCCGGGGTTCGATTCCCCTACCCAGATGAAAAGAGAAGGTTGGGCGTGGGGCTAGCAACCCTGTCTCGTAAAAACACCACTGCTACTGCAGCTACAAAGCTGAAACTTGAAGCCCTATGTTCCATTTGGAACGCGAAAGGAAGTAGTCGCGCTGTGTCATGAATTGGCAGAAGTTGGAATTCATAGACTGGCCATTGAATCGGTTCCCAGTGGCTTAATGGTCTACGAGCTCGCCTTGTAATCTGAAAGCTCTGTGTTCCAACCCTGACGGTGTGTGGGTATTGCTGAAGAGTTCCAAACTAGGAGGAAACAGCTGTTCAGTACTCCCAGGTTTTCCAATGGTCCTCTAACTTATATCAGCTCATGATGAAATCCTCCAACCAGTCAAACAAAATTCCTACAAAACCAATACTTGAAAATTAAATAAATAATTTATGTGACTAATAGAAGGTAGCAGTCAATTCAGTGCTTGTGAAATAAATGATAGGAAATAATGTAGCCTTTTAGTAATGGTGAAAGCTTGTTAGGGTAATGGATATGAAGCAAAACACTAAGGGGAGAAATCGTGAACATGTTTCTGGACAGCATAAATCAATCTTAATTAACTTTACCTGCTTCATATTTAGATTTTGTTTCAAGACAGAAGGCTTGAATATACATTAACCGTTTTCTTTAAAATATCTGTGTCTGTCTACACACCTTTGAGTGAGTAAAGTGAGGATGGATCGTTCTGGAATTGTACTGAATTCAGATAATGCATTGCAGAATATGCAAAACGAATTCTCTAAAATAATACGACCAATAAAGCTTTAAAATGCATTGTTTTAAGTTGGCTTCAAAATACAGTTCTCTGGAAGGTGAGATAATTGTTGTTGTTGTTCCCTTGGGTTCCTAGTGGAACATAGGGCTTCAACTGCACGCCTCCACTTGCTTCTGTCTTCTGCTGTACTTTTCGCCTGCATCCATGTTAGTTCATACTGTTTCAACTCCTCTTCACACGATCTCCTCCATGTCACCCTTGGACGTCCCACTCGCCGCTTCCCTTTCTGGTTCCACTCGAGCACTGGTCTGACGCGCGATATCACCCAGTGGCTTCCTCAGAGTGTCCAATCCATCTCCACTTTCTCCTGCATATTTGTTGAGCGATTGGTTCTTGTTTTGTTTGTTCCCATAGCTTTTTGTTTGTGATTCTTTCCGGCCATCTGATCTTCAGTATAGAACGAAGACAGCTGTTGATAAAGGTCTGCAACAGGCTGTTGGAAATATTCTTTGTGACCCGTCAAGTTTCTGAACCGTATAGAAGAACTGACTTGACGTCGTTTGTATTGAAAATCCGAATCATTTTGTTGTTGATGCTGAGTTAAGTGATGAAGATTTCCAGATTGGTTTCAGGTTGATGAATGTGTTTCTCGCCTTCCCAACTCGCGATTTGACATCCTCGTCCGTTCCTCCTGTAGTTGAGACAATGCTCCCTAGATAAGTGAATGAAGTAACCTCTTTCAAATCCCTCCCGTTGATGGTGATTGGCGCTGGATGTTGCTGCTGCTGTTGTTGTTGATGGTTGGTTGGTTATTTTCATAACCTCCGTCTTGTCTATGTTCACCTGGAGTCCTGTCTTCACCAGTTGCTTCTTCGACCAGTTTGTCGGTTTTCGCTTGTAAGTCTTCGATCTTGTGTGACATCAAACATAGATCATCCGCGAAATCCAGGTCTTCTAGATTCTTCACGTTGGTCCAAGATATCCTTGTCTTGTCATTTCCCACTGTCTGACGCATAATCCAGTCCACCACAATTAGGAATATCATTGGTGATAATAAGCACCCTTGTCTGACTCCTGTGTTTACTTCAAACGCCTCGCTGAGTTTTCCGTTGTGGATCACTTGACATGTGCCGTTGTCGTACAGCTGTTGAAAATAAGGTTGATGAATATTTGGGGTACGCCGTAGTACTCGAGTAGTTTCCAAATTACTTCGCGGTCAACGCTGTCGAAGGCCTTCTCAAAGTCTATAAAGCTGAGGTAGAGGTTTGATCGCCATTCCATGCTTTGTTCGATAATGATGCGTAGAGTTGCAATTTGGTCAGAACATAATTTGCCTTTCCTGAATCCAG